TAGTTCATGGTCGTCAGGACCTCATACATCGAACTCAACAGGAGAATCCATCATATATATATATATATGTTTTATTCGAAAATTATAACATAAAGTGATAGTGTTGAATGTAAAATGTAGGTTCTGCATTCAACACCATCACTTGATAAGACACCAGAAGTGTTGAAACAAAATGGCTATTTTTGTAGTGATTTTATAACATTTTTATGTTATAATTTTCCAATAAATTATATTTGCTCTACTCTGTATTGAGCACTCTTTTTTAAGAATAGTATTTTTTTAGCTATTGGAATTTATTCCGTATATACCAATCCTATACTTATATATATATATATATATATATATATATATATATATATATATATATATATATATATGTGTGTGTGTGTGTGTGTGTGTGTGTGTGTGTGTGTGTGTGTGTGTGTGTGTGTGTGTGTGTGTATATATATATGTGTGTGTGTGTGTATATATATATATGTGTGTGCGTGTGTATATATATATGTGTGTGTGTGCGTGTGCGTGTGTGTGTGCGTGCGCGTGTCTGCATGTGTGTTTTTTAATTTGTAAGGAAGTGATGCTTTTTTATTCATTAATCCATATGATTTTTTATCACTTTAAAAGTTTTTTTTAGTGGATAAACGCCATTTTTCTTTAAAAAAAAAAAAAATAAATAAACGGAGAACGCATATTCTTTCCTTTGTAAGGTTTCTCGAAAATTCAGGCCGATAGACAGAAACAAAAAAAAAATATACTCATTAATAAAATAAAACGGAGCGTCTACTCAAACATGGGCATCCACTGAAAATAACGTTTAAGTAATAAAATATATGTGTGAGTGCGTGCGTGTGTGGGAGTGAGTGTGTGTATGTGTGTGCGCGCGCGCCTGCTCCGGTCCATATATGGATGCATTCGAAGACAAACACATTGTTGTTGACAGTTCATCTTTTAAAGGCAGTCTCCATTCTTCTCATTGTGCTGAGCACGTTCCTTTGCATACGGGTCACAGTGGAAGCATTGATTGAACTATTGTCACACCATCAGCTTCCTGGAATCCATTTTCTTTGCTATTCCCAGGAGAGTAACTTTCCAATCAAAGGCACGTTTCGATTATTCGCTACCCAATGTTTTCTTGCAACATGGGAATCAGTTTGGAACAGTATTCATTTTCTTCTTTTTTTTTTGGTGTTTGTTTTTTTTTGATTCCTTATTTTGTGTAAATGTTCAGATTGAAAATTAATTCGCATAGCTTCACAGCGACCTTTTCAGGCAAACATCTTCCGAAAAGAAGCATAATTCCTTTGCATGTTCCTTCTCACTCATCTTTCCCTTGCAAGGAAAAAACAAATTGAAAAAGGAAAATTCATTTGCATAAACAAAAGCATGTTTCATTCTTTCATGTCAAAATCTACGTCTGGCAATTTTGCTTTTCTTCCTTTCTATGTCATTCCATAACTATTTATACAATTCTCTTAATTCTCCACTCTCAGTTTGTTAATATCTATCTATCTATCTATCTATCTATCTATCTATCTATCTATCTATCTATCTATCTATCTATCTAGCCTGCTCAAGTCTATCTATCTATCTATCTATATATCTATCTATCTATCTATCTATCTATCTATCTATCTATTTCTTTCGTTCTGACTGCCTGTGTGTTTCAGTTTATTTTATATCTTACAGTCTATAACTATTTATACTAATTTTAAAAATTTCTTTCTCTCAATTTTTCTCACTTCCTCCTCTCTCTCTCCTTATTTTAAAATTAATATAAATAGTTATAGACTCTAAGATATAAAAGTAAACTTAGACACACAGACATACAGACAGAAAGAACGATAGATAGATAGATAGATAGATAGATAGATAGATAGATATGAATAGAGTGAGATAGATATAAATAGACTGAAATAGACTGAAATAGATAGATAGATAGATAGATAGATAGATAGATAGATAGATAGAGTGAGACTGATATGAATAGACTGAAATAGATAAATAGATATATAGATAGATATGAATAGACTAAGATAGATAGATACATAGATAGATATGAATAGAGTGAGATAGATATGAATAGACTGAAATAGATATAGATAGATAGATAGATAGATAGATAGATAGATAGATATGAATACACTGAGATAGATTTTTCAGTTATCATGAAAACAATTGTATGCTCAATAAGCCGTCAAATATTTTAGGTGCATGAAATTGTATTTCAAGTGACAAACAAAAGAGAGGATTGGGCTGGAGTGTTTACCTCTTATCTGCTGCTAAATAAAACTCCAAGAATTTCGGTCTGCTGCTGATGATTGGGAGGATTAAATAGGAAGAGATTTGGAAAATAATTAATTAAATAAATTGTTAATTAACAGTCACTTGAATCATACGTGGCGTTTACAATACACAAACCCACTCACACACACACGCACATACATACACACACATACATACATACATACATGCATATATATATATATATATATATATATATATATATATATTCTGTAGTTTACTGCTACCAGCAAGCAGAAATATTTTTTCTCCCGATGATGGCCATTTTGGCCGAAACTAATCGAGGAATCTAAATGAAATAATAATAATAAAAAATACGAAAGAATATTAATCTACAACCCAGTGTGTCTGAAGATTTTAATTTTTTTATATTTTTTATTGTTCAAAATGCATATATATATATATATATATATATATATATATTTTAGTCGGTTAGATGTGAGTTTGTGACCTCGATTTCACGCTTTAGCGATACACACATTTTCACACACACATATTTATATATATATATATATATATATATATATATATATATATATATATATATATATATATATAGTGTATTTAGGCAGCAATCCTCATTTATACATGTTTGATTAAAGACGACAGACAAGATACTACGATTAATCTCTTTATTTAATTTTTCTTGTTCGAACAAGTTTTCTTTTCTGGACACAGAGTCTGCAGAAACCGTTCAAATGTTCAGTAATTCCAAGCGCTTTCGGCTATACTTTTAGCTGTTATCAAGGGTGATTTTTTAAAAAAAAAATTTTAACTGGATGTAAGGGTTGTGTGTATGTATCTAGAGTTACAGGGATGTTTTCTTTTCCGAACAAAGTCAGCACATTATGGCCGTGTTCGTAGTTAATATTATTGAGGATGATTCTGAACAGACAGACAAAAATAATATCATGAATATCACCTAAAGAAAAGCCAAATTCACGTCAACTATAAACAAGATGTATCTTCACCTAGAAATATCATAAAGAAATACACTACCTCAGCTGAACTAAACAAAAAAAATCGAATTATCTATTTAAAAAAATTGAAAACTGCTAATCTTATCCTCAAAAATAACAACACACCTGCGAAATCAAAAACTACAAAAAATGAACGTTATTCATGAGCTCAAATGCCCCTTAAGGAACTGTGTTCCTGATCAAACTGAACTTATAAATAATTACATCAGTCACACTATTACATGCCTGTCCAGATGACTTACGTTACACATATTCGACCACAACTCCATTAGAATTCAGTTAAACACACAAAAAAAACTACCAGACTCCATCCAAAACATTCAAGTAGAAAATACAAGCATAATAACCTCATCCACGTCTAAAAAAAAAAATTTAAATCATGGAAGACTTAATAATAAAAAAGAAAAAAAAACAACATTCAATATTAACTACAAACACGTTTTTATTTTCTCTCTTCCTCAAACAATGTAAACTAAACTACTACACAGTCAAATATGTAATTTCAATCCAAGTCGACATCCATTTCTATATATTCTTAATAAATTTCCTTCTCTTATGTGGAATACACCAATGTTGTTAATATTTCAATTTTTACATTACTAATCATGGCAATCACACACACTTCAGAAGCAGTGTTATTTTTGACCACGAGGGGCCATTTTCACATAGCACGTGTGTGACACTTATTTCGAATTACAACTTTGTCATTAGAATTAGTTCAGCATCCCAAAACAGATAGGCTACAAGGTCATAACAGGTTTAAAGGTATGAAATTGCTGAAGGTGGTTTAAAACATTTTGAAAAAAAACCAAAAAAAAAACCCAAAAAACTTTACTTCAGCTTAAGAGAGCGCCATGGAGGACATGTCAAGCTGTGGTCGGATAGGTGTAACATAAGTTGTCTGGATAGACATGTAGTATTGTAACTGATGTAATTATTAAAAACATCATAAAGAAATACACTACCCCACCTGACTCAAAAAAAAAATCGAATTAATCTATTTAAAAAAATTAAAAACTGCTAATCTTATCCTCAAAAATAACAACACACCTGCAAAATCAAAAACTACAAAAAATGAATATTATTTATGAGTTCAAATTTCCCTTACCTCTTTCAGCCTTGAACACCGCTTTACCGGTGGTAGAGAAAAATGACAATGCCCAGCCACCGGTTGAGCGGTGGTAGAGAAAAATGACAATGCCCAGCCACCGGTTGAGCGGTGGAAGAGAAAAATGACAATTCCTAGCCACCGGTTGAGCGGTGGTAGAGAAAAATGACAATTCCTAGCTACCGGTTAAGCGGTGGTAGAGAAAAATGACTTAATGTCTAGCCACCGGTTGAGCGGTGGTAGAGAAAAATGACTTAATGCCCAGCCACCGGTTAAACGTTAGGTAAACACTTGTAACTATATTTATATCTACTGTGAAATATTACATACCAATTATTTGCGATTTTTGACTCGGGAGCTCAGACAAAAGGATTAAAACTGTACAGAAATGCATGGCTCAAAGGGTTAAGGAAATGTGCAATCGGAGAGCCGAGTTCGAATTCCAGTCGGATCCATTGCAATCACTTAGGTGCTAATACCCTTGGGAAAGGTATGGATCCTCTTCTTCTCCCACCAGCTATGGGTAAATAGCAGGACAGACAAGGGTTCAATAGCCTTGGATAACAACCAGAAAGAAATGTTCCTACTGTGGGAAAAAATCTGCCTCGTCAGTCATGTATCGAAAAACACATGATCGCCTAAGCGTGTATCACGCATGGCACATAACTGATCTATCTATCTATCTTCACATTTTTTCATCTATCTATCTATCTATCTATCTATCTATCTATCTATCTATCGCAAGCTATTCATATTCACCTATCTGTCAATTCATTTCTACGGGTCACAGTCTGTCCAAATCTATCTATCTATCTATCTATCTATCTATCTATCTATCTATCTATCTATCTATCCCAGTCTGTCCAAATCTATCTATCTATCTATCTATCTATCTATCTATCTATCTATCTATCTATCTAATCCATTATATTCACTTACGTGCTAATACCCTTGGGAAAGGTATGAATGCTCTTCTTCTCCCCAGCTATGGGTAAATAGTAAATAGCAGGACAGACCGGGTCCTATAACCTTGGATGGCAACTGGTTTACCGCAGAAAGAAATGACAACATACTGCAGGGAAAAATCTGCCTCGTTAGTTATGTATCGAAAGATACATGATCGCCTAAGCGTGCATCACGCTTGGCACATAATTGACTGTTCCTGATCAAACTAAACTCATAAATAATATATATATATATCATGGATTTATTTCATAGAAATATTTAATAGTTTTCAATGTAATTTCCTTCCTTCCTAAGAAAAATTTGATCTGGAAATTTCAGATCAAATTTAGAATTAACAAATATGTGTTAAGCTATTGATCTAACCTAAGCAAATAGAGTATCAATTATCCTTAGGATACACGAGGTCTTTCAGGAGACAGTGATGGCTAGACAGGCAATAAGTGTAACAGCATTAATAAAGTTTATTAAATTTTATTCAATAGTATATCTGTTGTCGCTTCCATAGAAATTATCAGGAGGCATTATTTTCGGTGCGACCTCTTTCTTTGACGGGGGGGGGGTGAAACACACATGGTAACTAAAAATGAAAAAGAAAACACCAATCATTTGAACGAGATGTAATTAAAAACAATGTGAAGAACCCCTGAGGATGAAATTGTAGAAATTGAGGAAGAAATAGAAAATCATAGAATTCAAGAACGGAAATGGCTTAATAAACAAAAGGAATTAAATTATTTCGAATTGTCGGTATTAAACGAACTATAAAAGTCAGAAGCGTCCAAGGGAAACAAACAGACACCCATTTTGAAAATCATAAAGCGTGAAACAGACTGTTAATAAATAAAACAATAATGTTCTTTTTATGTATTAAAAACCCTTTTTAAAAGTATTTAAAATAAAGCAGTCTTATACATAGTAAAAGGAATATACAGGCATCTCGTGATTAATGCGCATTCGATTAATGCGTTTTCGATTAATGCGCAACATTTTTATATACCAAAATTCGATTAGTGCGGTAAAACATTCTTCAGTTTAACCACTAATCAAGGGATTCTTAATACATATATATATATATATATATATATATATATACACACATATATATATATATATATATATATATATGTATGTGTATATATATATGTATATATATATATATATATATATATATATATATATATATATATATATATATATATAATTTTAAATACCACAGACAATGAATGTATAAACTATGAGTCGTTCTAATGTTCGTATGTTTGCTTTAGTTTCGGGCGTAAATAAAAACAAAAATTGTTCAACATTTGGATATTTTTTATTAAGTTGGTCTTTGATCTAAGCTTTCGACTCACATGAGCCATCTTCAGAGTGATTATAAGGACATTTTAACAAACATATTCACCATCAAAGATAATGTTTTGTTATGTTGAGATAAAACATTGCTATGTGACGATGACTGTCGCGGAATAGCAGACGCAGATCGTAAGTTCAAGATGTGGTTCTATGACGTCATACCACGCGAGAGAACGAAATATTAACGAAAGAACCATATGTCTAGATGCAATGTAATGTGTTGTGACTAGTTTGAAATGTAATTTTGTTGAGTGTGGGTTGCTTTGTTTTAATCTAGATGGCCTCGAATACCTAAAAGTTCTATCTATCTCTATCTATCTATCTATCTATCTCTCTCTCTCTCTCTCTCTCTATATATATATATATATATATATATATATATATATATATATATAAATTGGATTCGAGAATAAAAACAGCATTTACCCCCAGGATTGTGAATCCGTCCTCCAGGAATAGCCAACTGACCAACAGTTCTGGTTCTGCTATTGCTGAACATATAATAAATAGAAGGAAATGTGTGGAAAATTTTAGTGGTGACCGATTTATAATTTTATCTAGGTCCCACTTCACATTTCACCTCAAGGTCCTAGGGTCCTTGTATATCGGATCTCGTGAGCCTTCCCTTTGTAAACAGAGGGAATGCTTGCTGGGTCTGAATATTATTGGACTCTAGTTTCTTGAAATTCATAATTCCCCCCACCCATTCGATTACATTCGTTAATTAAAAATTAATTTACACGCTTTTTTAAATTCCCAGAATAAATAAACTTGATAAGTCCTGGGACGAAACCGGTTGATTTTATTTTAGCTTTTGCTTTTAAAAAATGCCTTATAAATTATGTCTTTTCCTATCTATTATTAAATTCTGTACCACAAAAAACTTATTTAAATATATATAGAGAGAGAGAGTAAAGAAAGAGTGTCCACGTATGCTTCTTATAATATTTAGATATAATAGGCCAATGTAAGAAATTTTAGAGTTAAAATATTCAATAAAAGTTATGATATTGATAATAAACATGATAAGAAAGATTTTAAAATCGGAAATTGCGCTTGTGCCCTTTTCTCAACGAGACGGGAAATTAAAAGAATAAAAAGAAATGGGACATTTTTTCCCGCATTTTTGATATTACTGAAGAGTTCTGATAATTTGGGACAATTTGTTTGCCACGATGAGGTGTGTAGAGAAGGCTTTTTTTGTCGAAGCTTTATTCTTTGAGTATGTCTATTTCTTTTTCTTAAGAATTTATTTCATCGGCCGAGATATGCATCGATTTTATGTACACACACACACACACACACACACACACACACACACATACACACATACACATATGGGGTAGCTGCTCTCATTGAGGAATCTGAGAGCCGTGTTTGAATTCCAGTCAACTTCATTACGTTCACTTATATGCTAATAACTTGTGAAAGGTATGAATCCATCTTTTCTCCCTCTACCTATGGGTGAATAGCAGGACAGACTGGGTCTTTTGGTACTAAATAGTCTAGGAGAAGGACAACTCTGAATTCTAAACCTGCGAGGGTCGTTTGGGGACAGCGTGACATACTGTGCACTATATGTCTGTATTCAGCTCTTCCAAAAATTGGTCCTACACAATCCTTAATCTCTAGAATCAATATAATTCAGCACTATATGGCCGGCTTATATATATATATATATATATATATATATATATATAACTATGAACCTAAAGAGCCAGGTAAACCTACCTAGGTTTCACCTACACGGATCGTCAGGGAGCACTACTTAGTGTATTGAGTACTTTACTTAGTTACTTTTGCTTTACTCGTTTTGGAGGTTTTTTTCCTTTGGACTCTGAGTTTGGATTCTGGATGATTATTTTCGCCTCAATTACATGTTCTTAGTTCTTTCTTTTTTTTTTTATTCCTTATTTTTCCATGGGCATTGGTTTGTTCATTTACCATGTTCAAAATATCTAAGGTTTTTCCAGGAGAATATAATATATATATATATATATATATATATATATATATATATATATATATATATATATATATATATATATATATATATATATATATAGTGTAACCCGATATAAGAGAGCTGTCGGGACCGGATAAGAAGTCTCTTATATCCGGCTTTCTCTTATATCTGGGTTTCTCTTATAACACAGGCTCTAATTTGGGACCAGAAAAAATATCTCTTATATCGGGGTTTCTCTTATATCCGGGTCTCTTATATCCGGGTTACACTGTATATATATATATATATATATATATACTAGAAGAGTTTCTGGATGACCTAGACTCTATTTCTTTAGGGATGTGCTTTATTATGTTCGCAGGGTGTTTAGATCTAATATTCACGTATTTTAATTTGGCGCTGGGTTTCATATATGGGGAGACACTGCAAGCTCGAAGATAGTTACGTTCAGATTGTTGATAACTTTTTTATTCATTTCGACTTGTATTTCAAAGCCGAGGCTTTTGAAGAGTTTGAAAAGCGTTTTTCTTATATTGCCATTTGTTCTTCTTTTGTCTGGCGATAGACCGTCATCTCTATACAGATCATGGTTGTTTATATGTACAATTTTGTTAGTTTTATATAAGATATGTAGGCCTATTAACACCGAGACCTTAGCGCCGTCAAACGAACCTTTTGTGATATATCGAAACTGACTTATTTCTTAATCCAGGTTACTTCATTGTAGAATAAAAATTGATTTGCGGCAATGTATAATTATTTTTTGTTTGATCAGAGATTATGTTTACAAAGCCTTTAACGAAGTACAATACAGGGTGAGATATTTTCTGTCGAGTGGCCATTTGAAATCAGTTGTTTATCAGACGCACAGGAAGAATATTGAGGACCTTAAGGAAAGAATTAAATACGAATGCAGAAAAATGACAGCGGAATCTCTCTTAATGCCCAGCCACCGGTTAAACGTTAGGTAAACACTTGTAACTATATTTATATCTACTGTGAAATATTACATACCAATTATTTGCGATTTTTGACTCGGGAGCTCAGACAAAAGGATTAAAACTGTACAGAAATGCATGGCTCAAAGGGTTAAGGAAATGTGCAATCGGAGAGCCGAGTTCGAATTCCAGTCGGATCCATTGCAATCACTTAGGTGCTAATACCCTTGGGAAAGGTATGGATCCTCTTCTTCTCCCCACCAGCTATGGGTAAATAGCAGGACAGACAAGGGTTCAATAGCCTTGGATAACAACCACAGAAAGAAATGTCTACCTACTGTGGGAAAAAATCTGCCTCGTCAGTCATGTATCGAAAAACACATGATCGCCTAAGCGTGTATCACGCATGGCACATAACTGATCTATCTATCTCGGTCTATTCACATCTATCTATCTATCTATCTATCTATCTATCTATCTATCGCAAGCTATTCATATCTACCTATCTGTCAATTCATTTCTACGGGTCACAGTCTGTCCAAATCTATCTATCTATCTATCTATCTATCTATCTATCTATCTATCTATCTATCTATCTATCTATCTATCCCAGTCTGTCCAAATCTATCTATCTATCTATCTATCTATCTATCTATCTATCTATCTAATCCATTATATTCACTTACGTGCTAATACCCTTGGGAAAGGTATGAATGCTCTTCTTCTCCCAGCTATGGGTAAATAGTAAATAGCAGGACAGACCGGGTCCTATAACCTTGATGGCAACTGGTTTACCGCAGAAAGAAATGACAACATACTGCAGGGAAAAATCTGCTCGTTAGTTATGTATCGAAAGATACATGATCGCCTAAGCGTGCATCACGCTTGGCACATAATTGACTGTTCCTGATCAAACCAAAATCATAAATAATATATATATATCATGGATTTATTTCATAGAAATATTTAATAGTTTTCAATGTAATTTCTTCCTTCCTAAGAAAAAATTTGATCTGGAAATTTCAGATCAAATTTAGAATTAACAAATATGTGTTAAGCTATTGATCTAACCTAAGCAAATAGAGTATCAATTATCCTTAGGATACACGAGGTCTTTTCAGGAGACAGTGATGGCTAGACAGGCAATAAGTGTAACAGCATTAATAAAGTTTATTAAATTTTATTCAATAGTATATCTGTTGTCGCTTCCATAGAAATTATCAGGAGGCATTATTTTCGGTGCGACCTTTTCTTTGACGGGGTGAAATACACATGGTAACTAAAAATGAAAAGAAAACACCAATCATTTGAACGAGATGTAATTAAAAACAATGTGAAGAACCCCTGAGGATGAAATTGTAGAAATTGAGGAAGAAATAGAAAATCATAGAATTCAAGAACGGAAATGGCTTAATAAACAAAAGGAATTAAATTATTTCGAATTGTCGGTATTAAACGAACTATAAAAGTCAGAAGCGTCCAAGGGAAACAAACAGACACCCATTTTGAAAATCATAAAGCGTGAAACAGACTGTTAATAAATAAAACAATAATGTTCTTTTTATGTGTATTAAAAACCTCTTTTAAAAGTATTTAAAATAAAGCAGTCTTATACATAGTAAAAGGAATATACAGGCATCTCGTGATTAATGCGCATTCGATTAATGCGTTTTCGATTAATGCGCTAACATTTTTATATACCAAAATTCGATTAGTGCGGTAAAACATTCTTCAGTTTAACCACTAATCAAGGGATTTTGTGTAAATATATATATATATATATATATATATATATATATATATATACACACACATGTATATATATATATATATATATATGTATGTATGTGTGTATATATATATGTATATATATATATATATATATATATATATATATATATATATATATATATATATATATATATTTAAATACCACAGACAATGAATGTATAAACTATGAGTCGTTCTAATGTTCGTATGTTTGCTTTAGTTTCAAGTGTAAATAAAACAAAATTGTTCAACATTTGGATATTTTTTATTAAGTTGGTCTTTGATCTAAGCTTTCGACTCATGAGCCATCTTCAGAGTGATTATAAGGACATTTTAACAAACATATTCACCATCAAAGATAATGTTTTGTTATGTTGAGATAAAACATTGCTATGTGACGATGACTGTCGCGGAATAGCAGACGCAGATCAAAGTTCAAGATGTGGTTCTATGACGTCATACCACGCGAGAGAACGAAATATTAACGAAAGAACCATATGTCTAGATGCAATGTAATGTGTTGTGACTAGTTTGAAATGTAATTTTGTTGAGTGTGGTTGCTTTGTTTTTAATCTAGATGGCCTCGAATACCTAAAAGTTCTATCTATCTCTCTATCTATCTATCTATCTATCTATCTCTCTCTCTCTATATATATATATATATATATATATATATATATATATATATATATATATATATATAAATTGGATTCGAGAATAAAACAGCATTTACCCCCCAGGATTGTGAATCCGTCCTCCAGGAATAGCCAACTGACCAACAGTTCTGGTTCTGCTATTGCTGAACATATAATAAATAGAAGGAAATGTGTGGAAAATTTTAGTGGTGACCGATTTATAATTTTATCTAGGTCCCACTTCACATTTCACCTCAAGGTCCTAGGGTCCTTGTATATAATATTATCTCGTGAGCCTTCCCTTTGTAAACAGAGGGAATGCTTGCTGGGTCTGAATATTATTGGACTCTAGTTTCTTGAAATTCATAATTCCCCCCACCCATTCGATTACATTCGTTAATTAAAAATTAATTTACACGCTTTTTTAAATTCCCAGAATAAATAAACTTGATAAGTCCTGGGACGAAACCGGTTGATTTTATTTTAGCTTTTGCTTTTAAAAAATGCCTTATAAATTATGTCTTTTCCTATCTATTATTAAATTCTGTACCACAAAAAACTTATTTAAATATATATAGAGAGAGAGAGTAAAGAAAGAGTGTCCACGTATGCTTCTTATAATATTTAGATATAATAGGCCAATGTAAGAAATTTTAGAGTTAAAATATTCAATAAAAGTTATGATATTGATAATAAACATGATAAGAAAGATTTTAAAATCGGAAATTGCGCTTGTGCCCTTTTTTTCAACGAGACGGAAATTAAAAAGAATAAAAAGAAATGGGACATTTTTTCCCGCATTTTTGATATTACTGAAGAGTTCTGATAATTTGGGACAATTTGTTTGCCACGATGAGGTGTGTAGAGAAGGCTTTTTTTGTCGAAGCTTTATTCTTTGAGTATGTCTATTTCTTTTTCTTAAGAATTTATTTCATCGGCCGAGATATGCATCGATTTTATGTACACACACACACACACACACACACACACACACACACACACACACACACACACACACACATACACATATGGGGTAGCTGCTCTCATTGAGGAATCTGAGAGCCGTGTTTGAATTCCAGTCAACTTCATTACGTTCACTTATATGCTAATAACTTGTGAAAGGTATGAATCCATCTTTTCCCCTCTACCTATGGGTGAATAGCAGGACAGACTGGCCTTTTGGTACTAAATAGTCTAGGAGAAGGACAACTCTGAATTCTAAACCTGCGAGGGTCGTTTGGGGACAAACTTTACTGTGCACTATATGTCTGTATTCAGCTCTTCCAAAAATTGGTCCCTACAAATCCTTTCATCTCTAGAATCAATATAATTCAGCACTTATATGGCTGGCTTTATATATATATATATATATATATATATATATACTATGAACCTAAAGAGCCAGGTAAACCTACCTAGGTTTCACCTTTACACGGATCGTCAGGGAGCACTACTTAGTGTATTGAGTACTTTTACTTAGTTACTTTTTGCTTTTTCCTGTTTTGGAGGTTTTTTTCCTTTGGACTCTGAGTTTGGATTCTGGATGATTATTTTCGCCTCAATTACATGTTCTTAGTTCTTTCTTTTTTTTTTTATTCCTTATTTTCCATGGGCATTGGTTTGTTCATTTACAAGCCAAAATATCTAAGGTTTTTCCAGGAGAATATAATTTATATATATATATATATATATATATATATATATATATATATATATATATATATATATATATATATATATATATATATATATATATATATATATATATATATATATATATAATATATATATATATAAGAGAGTTGTCGGGACCGGATAAGAAGTCTCTTTATATCCGGCTTTCTTTATATCTGGGTTTCTCTTATAACACAGGCTCTAATTTGGGACCAGAAAAATATCTCTTATATCGGGGTTTCTCTTATATCCGGGTCTTTATATCCGGGTTAGACTGTATATATATATATATATATATATATATATATATATATACTAGAAGAGTTTCATGACCTAGACTCTATTTCTTTTAGGGATGTGCTTTTATTATGTTTTCAGGGTGTTTAGATCTAATATTCACGTATTTTAATTTGGCGCTGGGTTTCCTCTATATGGGGAGACACTGCAAGCTTTGAAGATAGTTACGTTCAGATTGTTGATAACTTTTTTATTCATTTCGACTTGTATTTCAAAGCCGAGGCTTTTGAAGAGTTTGAAAAGCGTTTTTCTTATATTGCCATTTGTTCTTCTTTTGTCTGGCGATAGACCGTCATCTCTATACAGATCATGGTTGTTTATATGTACAATTTTGTTAGTTTTATATAAGATATGTAGGCCTATTAACACCGAGACCTTAGCGCCGTCAAACGAACCTTGTGATACATCGAAACTGACTTATTTCTTAATCCAGGTTACTTCATTGTAGAATAAAATTGATTTGCGGCAATGTATAATTATTTTTGTTTGATCAGAGATTATGTTTACAAAGCCTTTAACGAAGTACAATACAGGGTGAGATATTTTCTGTCGAGTGGCCATTTGAAATCAGTTGTTTATCAGACGCACAGGAAGAATATTGAGGACCTTAAGGAAAGAATTAAATACGAATGCAGAAAAATGACAGCGGAATCTCTCTGACGTGTTCATGAATCTGGCAGAAGCAAAAAAGAAATTATACTTTTAATGAATCCCTATGGTGCGCGACTTTTGTATCAGCTCAAGTGCGCAGGTATGCAGAAAATAGAAAAGAACACTTAGTATTTTTGTTTTTATTTTTAAGAAGACAGTACTCCATACAGAAGTGGAGCTTATATTATTATATTTTTTTGTTTATTTCGGCAGTATATTTTCATTCAAGCATGTTTGGTTAAATAATTTAGAGATATTATGTCTATTTATTTTAGTTTTAATCCTTTCAAATCCACGAATTAATTTCTTGGTGGCTGTAGAAAATTGATTAAGAAAAATTCAAAAATTTCTTTCGAATAATTTTTATTTTTCCCAAATACTTTCAATAGATATAGAACAAGATATCTATATATCTATATATATGTGTGTGTGTGTGTGTGTGTGTGTGTGTGTGTGTGTGTGTGTGTGTAAATATATTGAAAATAGGAAAGAACCGTTAGGTTGATAATCCGAAGTTCTTTAGTATTTTTGTTTTTATTTTTAAAAAACAGGGTTCGATACACAAGTAGAGCCTGTATTATAATTAATTTTTTTAATTATAATTCCTATGTAGCGATGGAATCATATTTAAAAAAATTATA